ATAAATGGTATTCTTGAAAGGTAGAGCCACTTTCAGGAATACCAGATACAGCTGTAGGGGTCAGAACCAGTCATAAACAATTAAATTAAGTGACTGGCTACCTACTAAATACTGAGATATCCAACCTCCCTCCCTCCTCACTCACAGGAAACTGGCAGTAAGGCTTATAACTCACAGATGGGACCCAGGAAGTTTCCTCAAAGGCTAACTGAAAAGACTAAGAGAAATGACTTACAGATGATAACAGATGGGGCCATTTCCTTGCAGTGAAATAGCACCATCAGAAAACCCTACAGTGAAGCCCACCACGAGACAAGCCCCACTCATACTTAAGGAGCTTTCAAATTTCTTTTGTCTCATTCCAAAATATGAGCTGATACCAAGATCCCAAATACAAAAATATTTTAGGAAAAATGCTAGTACCAAGGCAGAAAAATAAAATGACAGAAAACATAATAAAACTTAAAAGAAACAGAAATAATGCAGGAAGAAGACATAAAACAATACTAAAAAATAAACACCTGTAATTAATGTCCTCAGAGACAGAAATATTAAACCCATGAAACAAAAAGAAGATATTCTTGCTGAAAAGACAGAGAGAAATAAAGAAATATTCTTGGAAAGGAATAAAAAAGGAGCTCTTGGAGATAAATTCTGTGAAAGTAGAAGTTTAAAATTCAACAGATGGGGGCCAGCCCCATGGCTTAGCAGTTAAGTGCACGTGCTCCACTACTGGCGGCACGGGTTCAGATCCCGGGCGCACGCCAACGCACGGCTTGTCCAGCCATGCTGAGGTGGCGTCCCACATACAGCAACTAGAAGGATGTGCAACTATGACATACAACTATCTACTGGGGCTTTGGGGAGAAAAAGGGGAAAAAAAAAAGGAGGATTGGCAATAGATGTTAGCTCAGGGCCGGTCTTCCTCAGCAAAAAAAGAGGAGGACTGGCATGGATGTTAGCTCAGGGCTTATCTTCCTCACACACACACAAAAAATTCAATCGACGAGTTAGAAGATAAAATTGTGGTAGCTACCCAAAAAAACCTAGACTAAAAAAGTACAGATGTAAAATAACAGAAAAAGGAAATTTAGAAGATCAAGTGGAAGCATAATGTTTGAACAACAGAAATCCCAGAGATCAACAAGAGAAGGAAAAAATCCAAGAAACACAAACATTTGTCAGGATCAAAGAGTGTCCAGATTAAGAGTGTACAGTGATGGATGAAAAAATACCTACTCAAAGGCACATTGTTGTGAAATTTCAGAACACCAGGGACAAATAGAAAAATACAAAAGGTTCCAAAGTGAGAGAGAGAAACAAGTCACATATGAAGAATCAGGATTCAGAATCACATGAATTTCTCACTAGAAGCTATCAACACTGGAGAATTACCTTCAAAAATATGAGGAAAAAATTATTTCCAACGTATATTTTTATGCCCAGCCCAAATATGAATCAAGAAGGTTGGTAGAACAAAACATTTTGAGAGATGCAAGTCTCAAAAGTTTAATTCCCACATAACCTCTCCTAAAATTAGGAGTGAAAGAAAAAGATAGAAGATCCTGGAAACAGGAAGTCCAACACAAGACAAATGAGACGTCCTAGGATATCAGTGAAAGGAGATCCCAGAATTACTACCATGCCATCTTAGACAACAACTAGTTCACACCGGAGCAAGAAAACGAAGGACTCCCAAAAAATAACTCTAGAAGATGAAACTGATAAGGTAATTAACAAGTTTAATCACATTGAAAGGAAATTTATTTTTATGGCAAAGAATTTGGTGATTAATAAGTGATAGTATGGGAAACAACAGAAACAAATGAAGCAAAGAAGGAGAAAAAAGAAATAGTCACCCTCCTACTGATTAAGATCATAGGTTTAGGCTATATAGCAGTGGCTTAAACTAGAAGATGATTTCTCATGTCAAAGACGTCCAGAGATGGGCAGTCCAGGGCTCCTGGTATGGTGTTCCATAGTGTCAGAGCCTAGGCTTCTTCTCTCTTGTTCCACCATCTTCAGCATGTGACTTCTACCCCATAATCCAAGAACTCAAGCCATGACATCCACATTCCAGCAAGCAGAAATAAGAAAAGAACAAAGAGGGGAACAACCCCTCCTACACTGCTTTAAGATCCCTCACAGTAGGTCATGAACGCACTAGTACATCCCACTGGCCAGGACTGGGTCACACAGCTGCACCAAGTGCGTGGGTTCTATTATGTGAACAAACATTTGGGACCCCTCTCCCTGGTCTATGCAAATCTAGCAAGCAAGCTGCATAGGCTTAAAGTCAGTACAATAAAAATCCATACTGTACTGTGAAGCAGCCATGCAGGCCTCGTAAGCCTGTGTCTAAATGACCTTGCAACCCCTCATCTCATGATTGAAGATACCAGCAGGATGAATCAGCAACAGGAAGAGATAATGGGTACCTAGCTCTCACATTTCCCAGCTGCATTTCTTAAAGATTGAGAGAAAAAGTAATGACCCTGGTCCTTCCTTCCCTCCACACATAGATAACATTACAAGCCTTGTTTGATGCATAACCAAAAAGTTCTTGTTCATGTTATCTTTGAAGTATACGAATATTAGATGTGTAAGCCCTTTCCTACACATACACTGCATTGTTAAAGGGTATATAAACTCCCTCAGACCTGTCGACCAATGAGCAGTTCCTCAGAATACTCTGTTGGACTGTTTCCCAGGACTCGAGTTCCTCACATTATCAAATAAATTCCTTCATTTAATTTTTACCTAGACTCTATTTCATTCAACAATTACTAATTTTTAAAAGCGGGGGGGTGGGGGGGTGGGGGGAGAATGGATATGATATGAAGAAATAGCTGGCGGTCTCTGCTACCTCCGCCTAGCACTTTCTACGCTCCATATCCTACTGTGTTTTTCCTCATAGTATTTATTAATCCCTGGTATATTTTCTCTTCATTTGTTTATCTGTTTTCCCCAACCTGTAAGTTCCAAGAGGACAAGAACTTTGTCTTCTGTTAACCCTTGTATCCCGTTTCTGGAAAAGTGCCTGAGGCATACAAGGAATTTAATAAATACGGGTTGAATGAATGAATTAATTCCTGGGGGGTGGAGGAAATGCCTAAGAAAATAAATTTAAACATAAAGATCCAGTCCAGGCACAGATGATGCTTCATTTTGTCTTGCTTGGTTAGAAATGATGTCCATCAACTGAAAAAACTGACTTACCCTCTCTGGAATTACTAATTTTAAAAAGCCTCCCTTCCTAGGAACAGATGATTCAAAAGTTTTTGCACAAGGCACAACCAATACAATCACAGGTGCTAGCCCTGTAATAATTCCCTAGTTTTAATAGTGTAAGCAATATTATTTCAATGTGTGCAATAATGTAACTATTGTGTGTGTAATTGTGTTTATGCATTATGTGTGTACTGCATTACATTACTAATTTAATGTAATTAGTAATAAAAATGTAAATATTAATATAATATAAATTAATAATGTAAGAACTATTCTTAATGTGTTATCAGATGTGGGAAGGGAAGTGTATTTGGGGGGAGTGGAATATAAGAGACTTAAACCCTTATTTTCCAAGCAACAGATACTATCTCTAAGTGAAAATATTAAGAAACATCAGAAAAATGCCTATAATTTAGAAAAAGGGAAACGAAACATTAGAAGAAACAGATGAAAAATGTTGAAAGTAGTTCTTCTGGGGACCAATAATCAGGGACAGGGCGGCCAGGATCAGAGGTCAGCTGTTTTGCTTTTTTTTTTCTGAGGAAGATCTTCCCTGAGCTAACATCTGTGTCAATCTTCCTCTATTTTGTCTGTGGTTCACCCACACAGCACAGCTGCTGTGGAGTGGCATAGGTCCCTGCCCCAGAACCGAACAGGGGCTGCCGAAGCAAAGTGCGCCGAACCTAACCACTCCGCCACGGCCCACCTTAGCTGTTTTGCTTTTAAGGCTTACAAAACGATTTGACTTTTTAAACTATGTAGGTTTAAATTAGACTTTCTCATATCTAGTTGGGTGCCTCCAATCTTCGGAGCTCCTGAGAAATACCATCTAACTCATTATTAGAAGCCTTACAAGAACATGCTGGGGATGGCCATAGGGAGATTTGTTGTTAGTGCCTTCCAATCCTTTCAGACTCCTAGCGACCCTGGGACAGCAGGGCGGAACACTGCCTGGTCTTTTTGTGCCATCCTCTCTCCTTCCAGCATATGAGACAAGGCCCCACCGCTATTCATACGGTTTTCAGGGCTGCTTTAGCAAGTGGGTGGCCAGGTCCTTCTTCCTAGCCATCTCCGTCTAGAAGCTCTGCTGAAACCTGTCCACCATGGTGACCCTGCTGGTATTTGAACTACCAGTGGCATAGCTTTCAGGATCACAGCAACACACGGCAGCCACAGTCTGACAACCTACAGACCGGTGCTGTGGTTCCCTGACCCGGAAATGAACCCCAGCTGTGGTGGTGAGAGGGCTGAATCTTAACTAGACCACCAGATAGGGAGAGAGAATTCACTCAGAGCAGAAAAGTGAAGGCTCCCTGGTCTGCAGCTATATGTACATCACACCAAATAAAACTTAACCTGGCAAAAACCTCCACGACTTTAAACGCAAAGCATGACACGTGCGCACCCACACTCCTCAATGGACACACACCCGCATTCCACACACACACATTTACGAATCTTCCGCAACTGCGCACGGAAATGAGGTGACGGGCCCACAAAGGAGGCACAGGGACGATCTCAGCCTTCAGCAGATCCTGACGTCACCTCGCACGTCTGAGGTAAAAACACCTCAGGAAACACATGGCTCCCAAGGCTCCGCGCGGACACAAGCGCGCCGGCGCTGGGACCGACGCCTGGCGGGCTGGGCGGTCGGGCCGCGCCTCCCGGGCGCCGGGGCGGAGCTGACCCCGCCGGGCCCCCCCACGACCCTGCGTCGCCCGCGCTCCGGTCGCTGCTCTCCCGCAGTCGGGAAGGCGCAAGAGGACTCTGAGGAAGAATAGTGGCTGGCTGCCCGTCTGCGCTCCCATCCGCGCCATGCTCGTCCTCCGAAGCGGCCTGACCAGGGCTCTGGCCGCGCGGACGCTCGCGCCTCAGGTACCCGCGGCGGGGACGCGCGCAGGCCGCCTCCTGGGGGGTAGAGAGGGGGCGTCGGCGGGAGGGAGGGGCGTCTGCGGGGAGCGCGCGGCCCAGCGCGTGCGCGCACTCGGCTCGCTCGCCTAGACTACGTGTGGTGTAGCAGCCAAAGATCGCTTGCAAGTCCCAGAACCCCAAGGCGCGGGACCCCGGGATCCGGGGGAACAGAAGAGGCGTCGCTAGGGGCAAGACCCGCTGCCAGTGTCGCCTCCCGGCCGCTCGCAAGCAGCCGTGGACAGAGGGCTTTTCTGGCCGAGGTGCCACGCGGCCCAAGGACACCCCTGCAGCGCCGGGGGCCGCGTTTCTGCCGCCCAGCGCCTTTCCCCTCGCGACTTTCGGGCTGGTGCCGGCTCTGATGGGGGCTCTGCTATTGATTTGTCGTTTGACCGGCCACCGCCCCCCCAGACTGAAAGTAGAAGGAGATACAGGTCAATCAGGCGCTGGCAACACAACCGGCCTCCCCGCTTTAAAGGAAGTACACAGTTTCCGAGCATTGGAGGCCAGGGTGCGGGTGGTGGAGCATCCTGCCCAGCTGCCCACTGTCTCCTGTGGTCGGTGCCCAAGCCAGGTGGGGTCAGGAACCTCGCAGCAAATATGATGATGATAACCTCGTTTAACTTGAGATGAGAAATGTACAAAGTACATTTTGGTGATTCAGCCTTAACTGTAGGGAATTGGCCTATTCTGTGAATCTAACAGATTTTTTTTCCTTTTTATGTTTAGATTTGTACTCCTTTCTCAACAGGTTAACCTAGAGACTGACTTTCTGGTGAAGACTGAAGAAGAGCCATTCATGGCCCATTCACCCAAGATTAGCAATAGTCTTTATCCTTCTGATTCTCTCTCTCCTGGGGCAGGGCCAAGAATTATTCCTTACAATTTTGTTTTGAACTTGGACGTTATTGAATCGACCAGATGTTCCCTTATAAGTGAATTGGAAGTTATTGCTGCTGAAAAGGAGCCCTGACTTGAAGATGAGGGAGCCTGAAGCACTCATGATTCCTCCCAAGCTAGTTTTAGTTTCTGGCTTGTAACAAAAATCACTTTCCCCCCAAGCACACGCACACTTTCTCACTGCTGTTGAACCTTTCCCTGGGCTTCCCCTCTTACTGTTTCTCCTGTGAAAGATAATAAAAATATGTGCCTTTGACCACATATTTCTTTCCAAATACAAATTCCCTGAAAATCAATTTAAAAAGCAGTTATTACAAATATGCCACTGGCCCATTTTCTGATATATTTTATTTATAATACTTTTTAAACTATAATACTAGGCAGTTAATTTGCATAACATTTATTACACTTTGGCTTAAATGACACAAAAAGCATGTCCACCAAACGTAGGAGTAGCTGCAGTTGTTTTTGGAGGGAATACCTGCTTTCCAGCTAAGCTTAGACACTTGGGCAATAGGAAGGGAGCTCACAGGGGACATGAATGGAATAAACTAAGTAGATAATTATGACTGTGACATTATACCCAATTAAATAAAATACATAAGACAATGGTGTGTTTTACCCAAAACATGTCAGAGAAAGCAGCTTACTGATTTCGTTTAGCATACCAGGTAGTCAATATAAGCCCCAAATTTGTCACAGCTTTGTTTGTACCAAAACTTTAAAAAATAAATCTGAATAATCAGCTTCAGGAAATTGGCACATAAGATGGATTTGTAAATGCAAATACCATGAGTGTGTATAGATATATATACATATACAAACACTGACAATATTTTCTGGCAGGGCATTTCCTACCTAAAGTTAAGTTTGCTCTAACTGAGGGGACTAAATTAGAACAAAAATTTATATCGTGAGCATGTGACTAATACAAAAAAAGAAGTAATGGTTCTTAAGGGATATTTCCATCAGCCTGGCATGGTTGGATGGATTAAATGCCCTTCTTCACATTGCATCTGTCATTAAACGTAATAATGACTCAGACAATTCTGACCCGTTGATTTTTTCCTTTATAGCATTCATAGTCTTATCATCATGTTATAATATAATTGGATAGGTTATAGATTCTTTTAGCATAATTTACATTCAGTCCTATTTTTTACCAGTGATCTGCTTCATTGGATTTGAGAAATATTTGACCTGAATAGTGTGGACAGTGATAACAAAATGGAATAACATATGTCAAGGCTTCTAGGATGGAGCTAGGAGGCCATTGAGGAAAGGGGACTTATGCACACACACCACGTCTCTGCCCAGATGGAAAGTAACTGTGCTTCACTGTTGTCATCTTAACCTTCTTTCAAGAAATATGCTTCCTCCCATAGATAAGAACTTTGTGCCTTGAAGATGGCCTTACTAACCAATCACGTATAGCCAAAAAGTAACAGTTGTTGCTGGCACTAATCACAGATCTTGCAGAGTAACTTGTGTAATTTATCTCTTTTTGCCTTTATATATTCGTACCTCCTTTGTCTTCCTCGGAGCACATTTTTGGGTTTCTACCTGAATCTGTGTCTCCAGAATTGCACTTCTAATTGCCCCAATAAATATCTGCTGTTTAAATTGTAGGGATTTTTCCTCAGTCGACAATAGCAATTTCCATTTTTAAAAAAACCTAAAAAAAGAGTTTTCTGCTAGTAAACACATTTCCATTGTGCCTGCCAAAACACCTGCATATTTTATCAAGTTTATTTAAATACCTAACTGTAACACACATGGTATTGAGTAAAGAAAGAATACTGGCTAAATGAGGTAAAACATTTGTAAATTTATTAGAATCCTAATTGTAGTTCTTGAGTAAAGGACTCTCATTAAGACCCCAGTGCCTTCTTATGATTAACTTTTCATGAGAAGCTGGCTAACAGTGGACCCCTGCTAGGAAACAGTAGCTATATATTCAGCATACTTAAGAGTAGTTATCTTTATTGACATCTCTCTAAACAAATATCTATGGAGAAATGACAGCAGAAGTACAAACATGGATTATGAGCCTAATATGGGTCCCTTGTTTCCAGATTGAGATTTGGTTGTAACATAATATTATAAACCCTACCTTCCCAAAATATTTAAATTTGCCTTATCTTTCTTCAGGTGTGTTCATCTTTTGCTACAGGCCCCAGACAATATGATGGAACGTTCTATGAATTTCGTACTTATTGCCTTAAACCTTCAACGATGAATGAGTTTATGGAAAATCTTAAGAAAAACATACATCTTCGGACAGCTCACTCTGAATTGGTTGGATTCTGGAGTGTAGAATTTGGAGGCAGAATGAATAAACTGTTTCATATTTGGCAGTACGGTATGATTTTTCCAGTTTAAGTGTTCAGTATAGAGTTTCATTCTGACACTTAGCTCTTGGATCTGTATTACTATAAATACATACAGGTTAAATTAAACTCTTAAAGCAAAACAACAAAAACAAAAAAACAATTTTGTGAATACTCCTCCCAGAGCCATATCTCTAACAACCTCTTGCTCAAAACCTTATGTTATCATAAATGGGAAAATGTGGCATCTCATATTTCAGATCATACAGCTGTGAACTAGACCTTAATTCTCAGAAAAATTATAGAATGGCTTATTGTAAAGATGACTTATGAAAAATTTAAACAGGGATTGCAAGAACCTGGGGGGTTAAGATCATAAAGGAAAAGTGGAATTATTGTTTCTAATTATTGAAACTACAGCTGGATATTAGCATTTTAGTAGAAACAATTCAAACAATTAGGGGCTTTACGGTAGTGGAGGTTGATGGGGATGTTAGTTAACTTCTAGGCCTCAACTCTGAGATTTAATAATTTGTGCACCCCAAGGTTTCAGGGAATTCGCTATCATTTTGATGCTCTAGGGAAGTAAAGTCAGAGGAATCAGAGTTCTCACCATATTGAAGCTGACTTGCTCCTGGCTTAGTAGACAAAGAACAGGTTACAGGAATCCCCAGAATGTTTGTTACCCCAGTGTGTAACCTTTGTGAAGTGCACGTCAGGACCTGATGATATCCAAAGAACTTTTAAGAATTTCAGTTAGTGTTCAGTCATCAGTGTCCAAAGTTAATAGTCATAAAATAGTTTAATATGAAGGGTACTCATTCTATACTAAACATGGCCATAGTTTTGGGGTTCTCCCTGTTGTAATAGAACACACCCCATTAAAACACAATTTATACTTTAATGTGTAACGAGTAGAATTATGTCCCAATGAAAAAATTACAAGTAAGGTCCTGATAGAACTTATTTAGCTCCAAGATAGATGTTATTCCTTACCCGCAGCATAAACCATAGAAAATTCTTTTACCCTGAGTCTTATTTACTGACAGTAAATATGGCACTAGGCCCATATGTTAGTAAATGCTTTTACCTGTTTTGGTATCAAAGAGAATAGAAATAGTACTAGGTAAAAAGAATGGGTGACAATAAGTAAGAGAATCAGCACTATTTCTCTGGAAGCTGTTTGTTCAAAGAGGCTGAAAAAGCAAATCTTAATTTCATTTGTGTTACATTTAATTCACGGTGTACCTGACCACCCCTCACCACCAAAGAGAAATTGCCTTTTTCTAAACTGGCACTGTAATTTAATTGCCTCAAATAAATTAATACAAATAGTTAACATATATTGAGTACCAACTAGGTAATTAATCGTCACAGCAACCTTGGAGGTACATGCTATATCATTATTCCCATTTCACAGAGTAAGAAACAGGCACAGACAGATTCAATAACTTACCTAATTTACACAACTACCTACCAAGTGGTAGAGCCTATAAAGCCCACGTATGACATTAGCATTTGTTGTTTATATTTCTACTCCCCTTCTACACCATGAGAAACTTGGGGACTGATGTCACATCTATTTATGTTGGTATCTCCACTAATATAATGCAGTGTCTTTATGTGGCCTCGAACATTTGCTGAATTGAATGAAATCCAAAAAAGGTACAGGTGATTTTAAATCAAAATTTGTATTTTTCTTCCTCCTTTTCTTCCCACAGATAATTTTGCTCATCGAACTGAAGTTCGGAAAGCCTTGGCCAAAGATAAGGAATGGCAAGAACAATTTATCATTCCAAATTGGGTTCTCGTTGATAAACAAGAGTTGGACATTACTTACCTGGTGCCATGGTGCAAATTAGAAAAACCTCCAAAAGAAGGTAAGTCCTTCCCTTTTAGTCAGTTTCAGTTTTAGTGGAGAAAATACTGAAGATTTTAAGCTATATAAACTAAAGTTCTATAGGAAAAAATAAAATAATCATTTGTTTTATATAGGAATATATTGTGATTATAGAGATGAAAATGAATTTGAGCTCTTTGCTTATAATTAAAACAAAGAGCACTGTACAATGAAGTGTTTTTTCAATTTGGAAAAGCGCTTAAAGTTTAGGTATGAATATAAAAAGTTGACATGGGAGTAAAGGTTGAGAAGTTGGAGATTTAGAGCAGGGAAACGTATAGGTAGGTGAAGGATAATGTATGAAATTTTGTCCTAGTTTAGTATTTTTTTTATGGAAATTACCTTAAAACATTTAAGTTAACCTTAAAACATTAAGTCTATCTTCTCTGGTAAGACTGTGTGGGGGGGAAATGAATTAACTTAAACTGTTAAACTGTATTACTGTAGTTTCTTTTTTGTTTTCCTCTTTCTTATTTCTCAGTTTGAAAATACTTACTAAAGATTTGTCTTCTTGCTGATTTCACTTTCTTGCTGACCTAAAGAAATATCTACCTCAACCTAGTTTTAAACAAAGGTTAGATCTTAAAAAAACATAAACTAATTTAATTTTATTTTCCCCATACTCTCAACTTTATAGTGTATCTTAGATTACAAGAGATTTGAAAAGTCTTATTTGGATCCTTAGCCACCTAGCTCTCCCCTCAGCTTTCAGCACTATCTAAATGAACTAAGTGGCTTCTAGAACAGTATTGAATCTTGATTCTCTTCCTCTGTGTTGTTTATAATTCTTTAGTAACTTTGTACTTTTTTTCCTTTTATTTTTCACATCTACTTGTCCTCTAGTTTCTTTCTCTCTACCTGCCTCATACTGGTGACCAGAAGGTAAAACACTTTTGAAGTGTTTACCTGGATATTTAGGAACGATAAAACCATCTCCTTCAGTTGTTTTTTTTTGCCCCTCGAAACCTCAAACATCACTTTGAGTCCATTGTTTGCTTGTTGTTTCTTTTAGAAATGGAGTCCTATGGGGAAAATTATACAAACAAAAAAGTATTTCCTCTCAAAATTGGAAAGAAGGAGGAAATATAGGAGATCAGATAATACTTTTCTTACTTGTTTTTTACCTAAAAGTGTAGACTTGGGCTGCTCAGAAATCCTAATCCTATTATAAATTCTCAATATTTGTTTTATTGACAAATTTTATAGACAAAATATTCTAGATAATGGCTTACTATAGCTTTTTCTTTGTTTTGTATTATAAGCTTAACAGCTGACCCTTAAACATGGACAAGGACTTTTTCTACACATAAAAGCAAGGAAAAATAATGCATAGAATTCATAAATATGTATATGCATATGATCTTCCAAATCTGTGTATGTACATTAGGCGTCCACTAATCTGATTAGAAATTTCTTGAATATATTTTGTAAAATAATTATTTTTCTTCTTACTCTAGGAGTCTATGAACTGGCTACTTTTCAGATGAAACCAGGTGGGCCAGCTCTGTGGGGTGACCCATTTAAAAGGGCAGTTAATGCCCATGTCAATCTAGGCTACTCAAAACTAGTTGGAGTTTTCCACACAGAATATGGAGCACTCAACAGAGGTACCGTTGGCCATTTCTTCTCTGAAATTGCAAAGTATATTTGTGATCTACTAAGTTCCGTGGGTCAGTTTTTCTCTTTTTCATTATGGCATATATTTTAATTTTTAGTGCCAAATTTTTAGTGTTTTTGTAATTTTAAGGGTTGAAAAAACCTGTTTTATATCTTATTTATTTTGAATGTTAACACCTTATGAAGCCTTTTTCAAATGTTGAACTGCTGTTTTCCATGATACATCAAAATGATAAAATTAAAATACTGCAAGGTGGGCCGGCCCAGTGGCTTAGCAGTTGAGTGCGTGCGCTCCGCTACTGGTGGCCCCGGTTCGGATCCTGGGCGCGCACCAACGCACCACTTCTCCGGCCATGCTGAGTCCCCGCGTCCCACCTACAGCAACTAGAAGGATGTGCAACTATGACGTATAACTATCTACTGGGGCTTTGGGGGGAAAAAAAGGAGGAGGATTGGCAATAGATGTTAGCTCAGAGCTGGTCTTCCTCAGCAAAAGAGGAGGATTAGCACGGATGTTAGCTTAGGGCTGATCTCCCTCACAAAAAAAAAATAATAAATAAAATAAAATACTGCAAGGAGCCTATCTGATCTTTTCATTTTTTTTTTCCTATAAGTATACTTCTGTTGATTTTTTAATATAACATTACTTGGGATGGAGAGATTGTCTCTGAATGAAAAAGTAATACATATTTTTACAAATACTAAAAACATGGACATGCCCAAAAGGGGGGGGGTGACATTTCCCACTCCTTAGAGATAATACATATATGAATATGTATATGGTATATGAATGACATAGGAACAAAAAGACCAAAATGTTATTTTATTTATATATATATGTATATGCTAGAAATAATGGATATGCGTGATTAATAACGATTTCCTAACATTCACATACACGTCAGACAGATAGATAAGTATACATACTTTAATTTGTCTAATAAACACCTATTTGGGGCATTTAACTTTTTTTTTTTTTAAAGAGCAACAGTTTATTTTATTTTTATTTATTTATTTATTTTTCGTGAGGAAGATCAGCCCTGAGTTAACATCCATGCTAATCCTCCTCTTTTTGCTGAGGAAGACCAGCTCTGAGCTAACATCCACTGTCAATCCTCCTCCTTTTTTTCCCCAAAGCCCCAGTAGATAGTTGTATGTCATAGTTGCACATCCTTCTAGTTGCTGTATATGGGACGCGGCCTCAGTATGGCCGGAGTAGCAGTGCGTCGGTGCGCACCCAGATCCGAACCCGGGTCGCCAGTAGCGGAGCGCACGCACTTAACCACTAAGCCACAGGGCCGGCCCCAGGGCATTTAACTTTTCAAGTTGAAAGTTACTGCACTCAGAATTTTCAGAGAGTTTTTTGTGGCAAACTCTAAAAAATGAGTATAAAGTTCATCTGGAAGGATAAATGACTAAAAATAGCTAATAAAATATTTGAAAGACTCATTATATCCAATTGCCTCCTGAACTTCCCTCCTTGAATGTCCAGTAGACATCTCAGACCCAACATATTCAAAGCTGAGCTTCTGATCCTTACCCAGAAATTAATTTCTATTAATATATCCTAAGAAAAGAATCAGAATATACAGAAAAAGATATTTTCTAGTTGGAAAATATATGAACAGGAGAAAAATTATGAAAATTATTAGATGTCTATCTCACAGTATCTGCTAAAATAAAATTCAAATGGATTATAGATTTCAGTGGGGAAAAAAAGAAGTCATAGAATTACTAAAATAAAATATAAATGAATTTATTTAATAATATGGATGAGAACTATATTTCTAAGCCAGAAAGGAAATGAAGAAATGATAAAGGGAAAAAAAATCAATTGATGATTTTATTATAAAAGGGCTCAATCTTTCTGCTGCCCCAAAACACCATAAATGAAATTCAAAAGCAAAAAGGAAAAAAAAAAAACTTATGCACGGTAGACATATAGATGACTACTAAGTATATATTAAAGAAGACGTAGATTAAAACAATAATGAGATGCCTTTTCTCACTTGATAAAAACATATAAGTATAGTATTAGATAGGTTGGGAAAAATTAGTACTCTTATACTGTGTAGCGTTCATTGGCTTAATCTTTCTCCCCCAAAATTTGGAAATATAAATAAAGAGCCTTTTTTTTCAATTGTTTTTGCCAATACTCTAGGAGATATGCATAGGTGTGTTCAGTTATACAGGAAGGATATAAAATATGTAGTGGTCATTGGAATGATGAGATTAATGTTTATTAAGTCTCTCATAAATTTCTATAATGGACGTATATCAACTTTTATAAGCAAAAACTACTGAAAATGTGGGTGTACTTATTAATCTTAAATTCATTCTCAGCATAGGAGGAGAACAGTAATATGCTGAGTATACATCAGTACATCATTTCTGGAGTACAGCGTATAATATGTACACTGTACACATATAAGTATACTTAAGATATACTCTTTGGTCCTTTCAACTTGAATTTTAGGAGTTTATATTAAGGAAATAGTCAGATCTAGACTGCCTGGGTTTAAATCCCAGCTCCACCACTTGCTAACTTTGTGACTTTGAGTGAGTTACTTAACCTCTCTGTTCCTTATATTCCTCATCCATAAAATGATGATAATAACCTACCACCTAAGATTATTGTGAAGACTAAATGAGTTAATACATGCAAATTGCTTAGAACCCAGCTGGGTACATAGGAAGCACCCAAGAAATGTCAGTAGTAGTTGTCATTGACATTGTTATTATTATAGATATCATCTAAGTGCTGTTCTAAAGAAGTTTCTGTCAGCATTGTTTACAATAAGGAAACATTGCAAACAATGTGGTGTTACGCTGTGTATATAATATACTTGTAATACACAAATGGACATATACATCATACACATTGTGTATCTTATATGAGCATAAACATATATGCTGTGTGTATATAAACATGTAAACATATAAAAACACATACATACATATATACATATGGAAAAGATACACCAAAATAGAAAAGTGGTTATTTCAGGGTAGTAGGATTAGAAATGATTCCTGCTTTCTCTTTTTGTTTATCTGCATTTTCCAAAATTTATACAGCTAATATGTATTACATTGTAATTATTTAAAAAATTTTTTTAATAATTAAGTACA